ATTCTTCACAAACTCTTCAAAAAATTAGAAGGGGATACCCTCATGCTGAAACCAGAAAAAGATATCTTCAGAAAAGAAAACTACAGATCAGTATCTCTTATGAACATAGATGCAATAATCCTCAACAAAATCCTAGCAAGTCCAGTGACAGGTATAAAAGGGCTTATAAACCTGGACCAAATACCCGGGAACGCAAGGTGATCTAACACCCAAAAATCAACTAATATAATTCACATGTCTGTAGAACAAAAATAAAAACTATCTTTTCAATAGATACGGAAGCATAATGTAACAAAATTCAATATCCCTTTATGTTAGAACTCTCAATAAACTGAATAGAAGGGAAATTCTCCCCTGATAAAGGGTATCTATGAAAAACACAGAATTGATTTCTTTCTTTGATGAAAGACTAAGTGCTTTCCTCCAAAATGTTAAGAACAATTAGAAGCAAGGATGTCTGCTCTCATGACTTCTGTTCAATATTGTATTAATGATTCTTGCCCCCCCCCCAAAAAAAAGCTAAAATTTTAAAATCATCAGATTAGGAAGGAAAACATAGAACATTCTCCATATGCAGGTAACATCCTCCTACACACTGAGTCTTAAAGAATTCACCAGGTTACCCCACTGCTAACATTTTTCTACATGGGGCCTCCCTGGTGGCACAAAGGGCTAAGTCTCAGCCCTATGAAGCTGTTGGCAGCCACTGCAGCATGAGTTTGATCCCCGCCCCCCGAGGTGACCCACATGGTGCAGCAGACCTCTCCTGACCCGCCCCCTGCTCCCCTCAGCAGTGTATTTCACTAGATCCTCCAGTTCTGCAGCTCATTCTGTCTCTGGTGAATCTTCTCACCCTCAGCACCTCTGGCCTACACCCTTGCTTTTGTATGCATAAATAAATAAAAAATAGATCTTAAAAAAATTACCATCTGTAAAAATATGTGCCCTTTCAGTCTTCTTTATGTAATTTTTTTCCATTCCTTCTAAGGATATGACAATAAATTGTACACATGATGCCCTGTCACCCCCTTCAATACTTTAGCATGTATTTACTTACAAGAAAAATACTCTTAGAAATGGGGGGGGTGTACTCTCATATAAAGTCCAGTACAACCATCAAAGTCAGAAAATTGACATAACACTATAATCATAGATTCCAGTCACATATCAAAAAGTGCCTTAATGTCACGCATTTAGGGCAAGGCGGGTGATGCCTAAAGAAAATTTAATGGCCAACTATATGCAGGACCCCAGGAAACATTGGCCAGAACTGATCAAACCCAGAGAGGAGAAAGTAGGGTCCCTCCTACTCCATCACAAGCACCAACGCACAGACAAGCCTTCAAAGACCTGAGTGAGGGAATTCCTGAAAACTGGTAAGTTTTTAGATGCCCAGGCCATTCCCCTGAACAGGTGGGTGGTGGTGGAAAGTTCACAGGGATTACAATTGAGATGAAAATGGTACAAAATGAAGAACAATGTAAAATATAAAAAAGAAGAAGTGTCCTGAAAAAAACCCGAGTGCTCCCCTTCTGGAAGGAAGGGCAGAGCTGGGTGACACCATGACAACAGAGGCCCAACACTTTCCCTAGCCCCACCTATTGCCATAAAACTCATCTCAAGAGCATATGAAAAGAAGCTCTGCTCCGCCCCCAGACTACAGGCTGGGAACATCTGCACAGTGCATCCCAACAAGGAACAGAATGAGCAGTTCAAGTCAGAGGTTCCCCAGTGTCCTGCCAGCTGTTCTTATCAAAGACTCTGCCCACCCATGGTCCCCTTCCTGGGTGTTCTTTTATTTGGTCTCCAAATAAACTTTTTTTTGCTTCTGCTAAAGGTGTGGCTGTGACTGTTTCTCACACCATAGTCAAGAAGAAAGGAAATCCTAATTCAGGAGCCCCAGCACCTGACAGCACAGCTAAATCTTGCATAGGTCTTTCTCCAAACCAGGGTCATGTATTAAAATGAAATCAGTGCATCACTTTAGTTATCTTTGATCTGGAACATCTCTTCAGTCTTTCCTTGTCTTCCATGGCATTCTTGAAGAGTGCAGAGCAGTGACTTTGTAGAACATTAGTTTGGATTTGTTTGATGCTTGCTCATGATTCATGCAAGTTTGGGAGGGACACCAGAAAGCTACCAGAAAGTCCTCTCAGTGAATTGTGTCCTCAGACCCAGAATGTTTACTTGTGCCATTAGTGGGGACATTAACTTTCATCACCTGTGTGGCGGTTTCTCCACTATCAAGTTAATGAATAATGAAATTTATTAATTATTATCATGTTAGTAAATATGGTGATATACCATATATCACTCTGTCTACATTTATCAATTGATATCTAGTATAAAGAAGCATTTTTTCTTGTCTCTTCCTTTTTCATTTATTATTTATGTAAATGTATTTGTTATTTTTATCTTATTTTATCTATAAATTATTGTTTATCTATATGACTTCACAGGTTCCAGTTTACTTAATGATTTACAATATGTTAGTGTCATGATGTATTTTGATCCTCAAATTTTCTTAGATTTTACTATTGAGACCTCCCCTTTAACTGTTTTTCTTTTTTGATTGAAGGCCAGTTGCCTGCATCCACCTTCCCTTCCTCCAGCAACAATCTCTTCCCACATTTTCATGTGATCAGGGCAGGGCGAACCCATTTCAGCCCCAGAAGTACACCCTGGCTGGACTTATGCTAATGAATGTATCCCACACCGCTGGGCATAGTGGCTGGTTCAAGGTGATCGCCCAACCCACACAGGCCAATAAGAATTGAGGAGATGTCTTTTGGGGCATCTGGGGAAAAGACTCCTTTCTCTTCCAAGGGCGAACCAGAGGAGAGGTTTCCAAAGAACTCTGCCCTTCTGATGCAAGATTGAAGATGTAAAGTTTAGCCTGCTGCAGTCATTTTGTTACAGGGCACCCCAATGTGAACTGGGCCACCTGGTTGTGGGTCCTCATCAGTGCACTTAAAATTCAATTGCACTGCAGGCACACACAAAAAGGGTGAATAATGGGCTTATTTACAAGGGGAAAGGAAAAAGAACAGCCCAGGGAAAGAGAGAAAGAAAGATACAAGTTAACTAGAACATCCTACCAGCTCCGCTGACTGGGAATTCCATGTCACACTGAAAGCTCGTCAAGAGCCTAACGATCAGCCACCAGCCATGCGGTCCAGAGAGTGAGCGCAGCTCACATGGCTCCCTTATATACTCCCAAAAGTCCCAGAATGCCTGCTTAGCTCCGCCCTGGGGTCCTTGCTGTTCTCTCTGTGGTATTGCTGGGAATTGTAGTTTCAATAACTGGAGCAGGGGATGGAGTGCAGAAAACTGGAGTAGGGCGTGGAGTCCACAAAACTCTGTTCCTTCGGGACATCCTTTCCCCCTAACAGTTCCCCCCGTTTGATTTTATACCACCATATTGATGGTGGCACAGATCACAGGGTGTAGTCTTAAGAGGCAGTCTGTAATTTTTCCAATATATGCAGAAGAAGCAGCAGTCACCAGCAGTGTCCATGAATGCCTGTGTGGTGGTCATTACTGGAATAGGTGAAGAAGAAAAAAGTGTATGTGTGTGTGTGTGTGTGTGTGTGTATAACAGGAACAAGCAAAAGTCTTTTTTTAAAAAACTGGTTTAACCTTTCTAAAAATAAGTTCTCTCAACCCTGATCCCAACTTAATCCAACAATGTATAAACTATTTACAAAGTCAAGCTACCTTTTCACCATTTTTCTATTTTTGCATAAAATCACAGAGTAGACTAACCAAACAGCAGTTTTTAGTTGGCCTTGTTGGAACAGTCCAAATAGTATCAGAGCTAGTAGTCAATGTCCAGTCCACATTGGCTTTAGGAAAAAAGTCAGTCTCAGGAGACTCAACCTGGGGAAAACTGGAGTAAGTGGTGGAGTCCACAAAACTCCGCAGAGTTCCTTCAGGACATCCTTTCCCCCTAACAATTTTGGCTGCCAAGAAGGAAGCTATCTGAGGTCAGTTTCCCTACACAGAGATAGGAAGAGATGCAAAAAAGCTGAAAACAGGGCCAGAGCTCTGATAACATTATAAATTTCTGGACCATTTGAGTTAATAAATTACCATTTTAATTTAAGCCAGGATGAGCTTGCAACCCCAAAAAACCTAGATAATATACTCCCCCCAAACAGCAAAAGAAAGTTGTCTACCAAGAGAAGCAAACCAAGAATCCATTTTTATTGCTTGTAATCAAGGTGACTCCAATCTACTGGCCTCCCTAGCTGGTCTGGGAGATTCTGGGGGGCATATTCCACTGTACCCCAGTCTCTTAGATTGAAGTGTGAATGTGGTGAGGCTCAATTAAGTATCTCATGACTATTGTAGTCCTCTCTTATCTAGGTGGGATACTTTCTAAGACCCCTAGTGGGTGCCTAAAACTGAGGATAATACTGAGCTTGATATGTTGGGGTTTTTTCCTACACCTGCAGACCTATGATTTTTAAAGCTCAGTTTCCAAAGTGGGAATAATAAGAGATTAACAACAATAAAACAATACACCATAATAGAAATTATGTTAGTGTGGGGTCTCTGACCTCATTGGCTACCAGAAACTGAGGTCATGGAATTGAAACATTGAAACCTATAATGGGGGTGTGGGAGTGGGACTAATGTAAATGTGTGAAAGCTGTGAGGCTGTTTGCCACTAGGTCCCCAACATCTGGAAAGTATGTGGGGAACACAACTGACATTTACTGAGTGTGTGCATGTCACCCAAGAATGGCTGTGAGTCCCACCACTCAACTCTGCCAAAGGAAAAGAAGCCACAACCAAACCTTCATGACATTTTTGTAAGATTATTTATTTATGCACACAGAACTGGGGTACAGGCCAGAGGTGCAGGGGCGGTGAGAGGATTCCCCAGGGACAGTGGGGAACAGAACAGGCTAACAGAAGAACTACATTGCTGAGGGGAGCAGAGGGCGGGTCAGGAGAGGTCTGCCACGCGATGTGGGTCAGCTCTGGGGCAGGGATCAAACTTGTGCTGAAGTGGCTTTAGCTTCATAGTGCTGTGCTTTAACCTTCTGTAGCAACAAGGAGGGCCCCCTTCATGACATTTTATTCTCCTGAGGGGAAGATCAGTAGTGAAAGTTAGGCGAGAGGAACTAGAGGGTAAAATCTGGATTTAGGAAGAAGGAGCAGGCAGAGGTTGCTGGAATTTCCGGGGTCTTCCCCAAGGTGGAGGCTCAGACAAGACCCGGGATGGAGAGGAGTCTGTTTGGGCATGTTCATGGGGCATTGAGGGGAACAGGAAGTCAGAGTGACCTGTTCCTGCTGAACATACCCAGAGTCACATCCCAAAAATCAATAAGCCAAAAACCAGTGAGATTGTGGGGATTTGAACTTAAAGCCAGTGTCCAATAAAGGAAATGTCAAGGTCCTCACACTACTTGGAGGCCCCAGGTCTGCCAGCTTCAAGTTCCAAAACATGAATGAGTGCTCAGTGGGCGACCGAGCCAATCACGAGCCCCTTCTCAGCTCCATCTCCTGTAGTGTGTCCTGATTTCCAGGCACGGGCTAGGTGGCCTGGAAGGAATAGGCCCAGAGAGCCCTCTCTGCCAGCAGGACAGCCAAACCCAGCTTGCAGGCCTCTGAGGTCATGGGAAAGAATGTGGCCCTGGCTCCTGTCCCCAGGGAGCTGGGCTGGGCCTGGGGACGGGAGTCTGATTAAGGCTCCGAGGTCTTTCGAAAATCACAGTCTGAGAACACTTCTTTGGTGACAAACCCTTCTGATATCATCTCATTCACTCCTGATTTCCAGACTCAGAAATGGTGCTACAGCTGTTCCCTTCAAAGATGAGGAAACAGAAGTTCAGAAAGGTTAAGTTACTTGCCCAGGGTCACACAGGTGAGGCGAAATGAAGACCAGCTTTGTACCTCAGGATTGCCTGTATCCAACGTCCCAATTTTCAATGAGTATTTCTCAAGGATTTCTAGCTTAAGCTTACCTACCCACTTCTCCACTCCTTGTGCTGGGACTAGGAGGAGTGAAGTATCATCACAGGAAGTTTGGAGCATCACATATGAACTGCTTGTGATGGTTGTACTTGCTTGGGAAGGTGGTGCCCTCAGGAAGGAGTTCCTGATGTCACCTCTGCACTTACCTGCTTTAGGTCTGCACATCTTGAGGTCCACACAGATGTCACGGGCACTTTTGCCTTCTATGATGTCCTGGGAGATGCGACGGAGAAATTTTTTCATGATGTAACTACAGGGCCTTTTTAACAGCAACATCCTGCTGCACACCTGGGACGCGGCCTGTGTGATGGTGTTCTGCAACAGAAGTGCCAAGGCAGACATGGGAATCCAGCCAGCCCCGCCCGGCTCTGCCACCCAGTGGGCTTGGGCAGCTCTGACCACGAGAGTGTTCAATAGCCCGCTAGCCATGGAAACAGAGATAACATCAGCTCCTGCACCTGCCCCCCAAAACCCCAGTCTGATCATCAGGGGCTCTTGAGAAAGGGACAGCTGTCCTGACAAGGGTCTCAGACCCTTGCACACCCACTCCCTGTCTTCCGGGTTGAGAATGATTCCCACAGAATCTGCCAGAACTGCATTAAAGGCTCTGCCAACATAGCTTCCTGGGCCCAGGACTGAATAGGGGGGAGTCCACCCAGAGAGGTTCCACCACCTAGGGAGGGTTCTACCTAGGGAGGTCTCCACCTGTGGGGCAGGTGAGGAGGGTCAGCGCTTAGAACCGTGAAACTCGTTCAATTTTGAAGTATCTTCTATTGCCATCATAGTGGACAGTATATCTGAGTTTTCTAAGTCGAGGGAGAGCCCTGCAGTGCCAGGTTGGGGAAGCAAAGAAGAGGGAAGGAGGGTGATCCAATGATGTTTGGCAGTAGCAAGCCACTGGCTAAATGTGTTCTCAGTGTCAGAAGTGGAGCAAAGCACATCTCACTCTTGGACTTACTAAAAAGGCTTAGAGTGTGTACAAGCCAGCGATTATCAGCGTCCCATTCTGCAGACAGGAAAATTGAGGCTCAGAAAAGACTAAGCACTTGGTGCAAGCATGAGGCCAGGAATGGCAGATCATATTTATCAGTGCTGCCCAGGACCCTCTTGAACAGCCTTGCAAAGCTCTACTGTTCAGTCAGGGGGAAAGGTCCTTTTCCCTTGGGGACAAGTTTCCTTTGAGAATAGGATAGAAACCAAGCACACTGCACTTTCTCCCACTTTCCTACTCCCAGTATGTCACAATTCCACAAGATTCCCTGAAGTGTACCTAGTGAGGGACTCGGACCTTGTCCTAGGAAACTCTGGTCCAGGTTGAATCATCTCCACCCCTAGCAGCACCCCGGGACAGTGGTGCTATGGACCCCCAGGCCCCCCCAGCTGTATTGACCACAGCCTTCACCTCATCTAGTTGGTCTCCCACCAGCGTCAGCAACTTCTCCATTATTCTTTTACAAGGTCCACAGGTGATGAACATCCCCTGACTTTTGGTCAGCAGAGCATCCTGTCAGGAAAGGAAACCCCCATGGTGGTCTCTCAGATACTCCAAGAGACACCAAGGGGACTGAGAAAAAGTGGTAAGGGTGGGACAGGGGCTGGAAAGGGCACCAATGATACTTCTCCACTCAAGGGCCTGGTCCACCTTCCTGCTAGTCTTAGGGAGGCAGAGGGACCCCAGAATTTGCCCCCACACCTTTTCCAGGCAAGTACTTGACCCTCTTCTGTTGTCTGGTCAGATCTGGAGGACCCTCTTGGGAAGCACCCAGCAATATATAGGCCACCTCATTCCACCCAGGAACACTACCCAGGGAGACAAGGAAGGAAAGAGACTGCGGAAGTGACCAGGAGTCAACCACATGTGTACCTGGAGGTCCTCCTGGATCAGGTTCTGGCCGATTGACTCTCCATCATACGGGCCACATTGCGCTGGCTCATTGCACCCAGAGAAAGGAAGACCTAGGGAAGGAAGATCATCAGCCTCACCCCACACGCAGAAGGGAAAGAAAAATATAGGGATCCAGAGAGGTGACCAGGATCCAGCAAACAAGCAGGGCTTCATGGAGGCTGTCCTACTGTGCTGGGTGCTGCCGGGGGCTGCTTCAACTGGAAAGCCAGAAGAAAAAGACTACCTTCTGCCACCTCTACACTTCCTCTCTGTCACTTTCACTTTCTTTCTCTCACACACACAAACTACAGACATGTGCACACACTGATTTGGAGGTTGATCTAAAAGAAAGCTTCTCTCATCTATCAAGAGATTTCCTTTACTCTTTCCTTCCAAAAAGAATTCGTGTCAGGGGCCCAACCCAACCCACACTCCCTTTCAGACATTGTCTCTACTCTCAGGGAGGCTCTGGTACCTCACACGGAACCCACAGACTGAGGCAGAACAGGGTATGTGAAGCAGGAAGTGAGTCTTGAGCGATATTGATTCACAATATTGTGCCCTGCTGCCACAATCCTAGTCAGAATGGTCCAGAAGAAACATCACACCCACTGATGAGGAACAATGAGCTTCATGATGCAGATAAAAAAGAAGGAAACTGGGGTGTGGCCTCACCAAGCCCAAGAAAATGGGTCTTAGATCTGTCAGGATCTTCACTGAGGGGAATGTCCTTACCTGGGGTGTCCAGGAGCACAGAGGCAAGGAACAGGAGTGTCCAGGCTGTCATGGTGGGCTGTGAATTGTCCTAGGAGACACAGCTAGGGAAGGAGAGGCCAAGGGATATACACTGAGTCCACTTGGCCAGAAACCAAGTGCTCTCCTGCTCCAACCCTGCTCTATTTCTAGGCTGCCCCATGCAGAATGGCCTCCCTTTTCACAGCTTTCCACTGCTCCTCCTACTTCTCTGTGAGACCTCTTCAACACTGAAGACCACAGTAAAGAGGAAATGGACCAGAAGATGACTCATGTCTTGCATTTTTGTGGGGTACTTGATAAACCAGACTTTTCCAATACAAAAAAACATTCAGGAAGACACTTGCACCCCTATATCTATTTCTGCTATATTTACAATAGGGAAGATAAGGAATCAAGCCAAATGTACAAAAATAGATGACTGGCTCAAGAAGATGTGGTACATATACACAATGAAATATTACTCAGCAATCAAAAAGGATAAATTCATGCTTTTTGGATGAAGCTAGAAGAGATCATGCCTACTGAAATAAGCCAGAAAGAAAAATACAAATACTGGGTGGTTTCACTCATAGCAGGAGTGTAAGGGATCGGGAGGGGGGGGAGAATTGTAATAAAGTAAAAATGAAAATCAACAAACAACTATAAGCCAGAGATATTCTATGGGAGTGGTGAGGGGAAAGGATAAAACTGGGGCAGGAAGAGCACATGGCACTATGTTGATGGCACATGGGTGAATCGGTGGTGGGAAGTCCAGAGGGATTACAACTGAGATGAAAAAGTGTACAAAATGAAGAATAATATAATATGTGTGTGTGTGTATATATGTGTGTGTGTGTACTTTTTTTTTAAGAAAAACAAGATGTGGTTCATACATATGCTGGAGTACTATTCAGCAATGAAAAATAAAAGCTGATACATCCTACATCCTGGATAAACCTTAGAAGCATATGCTAAGTTAAATAAATCATAGGCAAAAGATAAATAATGTATCCTACACTTAGATGAAATATCTAGAATAAGCAAATTCATAGGGACAGGATGCATTTTGGAGGTTACCAGAGGCTAGGGGTAAGGAAATGAGGAGAAAGAGGGAGTTACTGCTTATTTGTTGCAGAGCTTCTATTTGGGATAATGAAAAAACGTTTGAAAAGTAATAGGATGGTGGTTGCACAGCATTCGGTGGCCTGAATTATATGGTTGACATGACATTTTTGTATTAGAAATAAATCAAATGTTGATCAATGGATAAACAAATTAAGGTATAGCCATACAATACAAAATACTACTTGGTAATAAATAGAAATGGACTATGGATTCATGCAATAAGATAGATGAATCTCAAACACTGAGTAGAAAGAAGAAACTAAAGACTACATTCTCTATGGTTCCACCTACATTAAGTTCTACAGCAGGAACAAAAGTCAGACAATGGAAAGCAGTAAACCTGAAATAAAACAGGCAAGACAGGAGAGATCTGCCCCACCGTTTGGGTCAGCTTCCTGGCTGGACAGGGAGCTCGAGCCGCAGCGGCTGTGGATTGCTTCATAGTGCTGTGTTTGAACCACCAGGGCGGGCCCTCTTTGCAGCCATTTTAATTTAGTTTTCAATCTTCGATTATGTTTTTGGACATCCAACTATCTAGCAACACCAGAAGACATAGAACACTATTCTTATCAGATAACTTTCTACATGGCATCCTGCCATTTTCTAGAATGATTATTTTATTTATGGTTTTTATAACCTCTGGTAAGAAGTTATGGCCTTGGCTATTAGGATACCTTGCTATATGAATGAGTCTACCCTTCAGTTTCCTTTCATTCTACTCTAATTAAGCTGTGAGTTCAAAACAAAACAACAAATCTCTTCCCTGAGCTTATCAATTGTTTTTCTGGTTCCTGACTACTATGCTACTTTGTTTGTGGTCAACAAGGATGTGGCTGTACCTTTGAAGACTAGATCAGGGTTCGGAGGTGATTTACAGTTTCAGGAGGTCAAATTTTCTTCCTTCCCTCCACTCCCCAAGTCAAAGCGGAGCCAGCTGGGTTGATAAGGCAGCCTCTCAGCGTGCTCTATTAATTCTCTGGTTTGCTCCCAGAAAGCCCTGGGCCCCAGGACACTGTCCCCTCAATGCAAGAGATTTAGAAGCCACTTCTATCCCCTGCATCAGTCCATGACTCTTAATTTCCTCCTGCTGCCGTAACAATTACCGCAAACACAGTGTCAGCAAACACCCATTTGTTGCCTGACAGTTCTGCAGGACTGCAGTCTGGGAGGGCTCACCTGCTCCCTCTGGGTCCCACAGGGCAAAACTAAGCCTGGCTCTTGTCTAGGAAGACTCCACTTCGAGGCTTATCAGGGTGGTGGCAGCATTCAATTCCGTGTGCTTACAGGACGGAGGCTCCTCTTTTCCTTACTGGCTGCCATTCGGGTGTCATTCTCAGCCTGGAGAGGCTGCAGGCACTCCCTGGCTCACGGCCCTGTACACGTCTTTCTCATGCTGAGACTCTCTGAAGTGCCCCTGCCTCCTCTTCATACCTCCTACTTCCACACACACACACAGAGTCACAGACACAGTCACACTGACATACAGACTGTCCACCTGTTCTTTTTTCCTTGCAGCTTGGGCCTCCACTTCAGCCTCTGAAGCCAGAGAGGTCTATCTCTGCTTTATCATCCATTAGATAATGAAGTAAAGTTTTTAATTATATTTATGAAAAGCATAAGGAAAATTCTTTTTTTTTTAAAGATTTATTTATTCATATAGAACTGGGGTACAGGCCAGAAATGCAGGGGGTGAGAGGATTCACCAGAGACAGAGTGTGGAGCAGAACAGGCAGATCGATGAAGTACACTGCTGAGGGGAGCAGCGGGCGGGTCAGGAGAGGTCTGCCGCACCATGTGGTCACCTCCGGGGCAAGCAGGAATCGAACTCATGCGCAAGTGGCTCAAGCTTCTTAGTGCAGTGCTTTAACCTGCTGCGCCACCAGTGAGGGCCAAGGAAAATTCTTAAAAATTTTTTTTTCTCTCTGGAAAGCACAGAGAAAACATAGATAAGACCCCCGTTGCCAATATTTCATTGCCTAGAAGAGCTGTGAAAATATTCTTCTTTACCTTTCCACACAAGTGTATTCATGTACACTGCTCCATCCTTAATCATAACTGTAAAAGATGTTCAGAAATGTGCACAAAACAAAATGAACATCTCAGTGGCTTATTATGAAGCAAATATCCATGTAACTGCCACCCAGGTCAAGAACCCTAAAGCCTGTCTACCTCCCCTCTCTACCTCACCCTTAATGATAATCATGACCTTGCTTTTTGGTATAGTTTTTCCATCGCAGCCCACACTCTTAATCTGTGAGTGTGAACATATAGAATGTATTCTCTAGTGTCTGACATTTTGGAATCAACCTCAACAAAGTGAGTTTTGCCCACACGGTCGTGTCCATGAGGCATTTGTTCCTTTCTGGTGTGAGCACTATTTCATCGTGTGGCTAGTCCATAATTTACCCATTCTCCTTTGTTGTATGTTTGAGGTGTTACCATTTTTGACCTACTGCTATACAGGAATTATCTTTCTTTTTTCTAATTTTACTGCAATAGAATTTCAGTATACTCACCGGCATATATTAAAATGTATCATTTTATCAGTTTTGATACATGTATATACCTGTGAAACTATCATAGCAGTGAAAAAAGTAAGCATGTCTATAGCCTCTTTGTCTACTTTTGGGTGGATGGATAGATGAATGGAAGCCGGGGTACAAGGATGGGGAAGATGGAAGCATGGATTCGATGAGTGTACAGATGGCTGTAGGACTAGAAAGATCCTCATACAGTATAGTTTCCTCTCACCATTTGGATGCAGTACCTTGTATGCTTTCCAAAATAGATGCTAGATTATTTGTGTGTTTTCAAAATATTTATTAATTTATGCATACAAAGGCTAGGATACAGGCCAGAGGTGCAGGGGGTGAGAGGATTCACCAGACACAGAGTAAGGAGCCGAGCAGGTAGACTGAGTGAAATACACTGCTGAGGGGAGCAGTGGGTGAATCAGGAGAGGTCTGCCGCGCCGTATGGGTCAGTCTCTGGCCAGGGATCGAACTCATGCTGCAGTGGCTGTGGAGAGCTTCATAGTGCGGTGCTTTAACCTGTTGCACCACAGGGAGGGCCCATTACTAGACTTTTTGTACATTAGCTCACTCAAAGGGCCTGTTCTAGTGCCTGGGCAGCCTCCTTGACTAGCTGGTGAGAAACAACTAGTATGTTTTGCTTTGTGTGTTGGACAGAAGTCACTGGATGCATCAATCTAGTCAAAAAAAGACATATGATGGAAGGCCTGGTTCTTAGGCCTCTCCTTGTTGTTTACCAGTCATACTCCTGACCACACAGCCCCCACTATCTGAGTCATAGTTCATAGTCTGATAAGAAAGAGATTAATAGTTTCTCAGACCTCATCTGAGCTGTCCATAACCACTTACTCAAGTTTCCAGGCCGCAAAAGGAGACCACCTTAACCAGAGTTCCTGTTCTGAGAAATTAATTACAACACATTACATGCCATCTTTTTCTCTCCTTCACATTATTACTTATAACTCTGCCACCCCAGCACCACCCCAAAGGCTCCAAAGTCACGGCAACTTCCATCTCTGACTTCTGTGGCTGACGAGAATCCAGAGGCCTTCCAGATGGGGTTCTTAAGCCCATCCGAGCCCTCTCTCTCCCTTGCCTCACGCTATACCCAACACCTCCATCCCAGAATGACCCAACTGACTCTAGCTTCCCCTGTGGCCTCACCTGGACATTGTCTGCTGTCACTGGGTACCCTGGTGCCTGGCCCTTGTTACAGCCACTGCCCTTTACCTCATATCCCAGGATTGGAAACGCCCCCACCTTTCTGGAGCTTTATTTCCCAGCTGGAAAATGTTTGGTGACTCCTGCTTCTCCCTTTGTTCTGATGGCTCACACCAGTCCACCTCATCAAACAATTTAGACAGGACAAAGTTTATACTCACAAATTATATTGTTGGTATATTGTTAGTATATTTAAGGAGAGAGAA